TAAGATAAAGGAGAGATCTGGCTGAATGCAGAGGTTAAGTTGTCACAACATTGAGGATAGCAGAGCTCAGGGTCACCAGGCCTGTGAAGGTACAACAGCTCATTATTAGAAACCTCGACAACTGCTCAGAGTTCTACTTTAGGGAGATTCTTACACTGTTTATAATTGAGAAGTGATTCAAGGAGATTTTTGGTGAAGGAACAAAGTAAGTATAAGAAACTGGGTGGTATATAGGTAACTTTAGTACTAACCCACCCCTTCACAAACCACCCACCCCACCCCTACACACACAAATACTGTTCTTTCCTATAGCAGGTATGACAGGGCCAGGCTCATATCCCTAGGGGCCTTACCACCTCACTACAAGCCCCTGCAAGCAGCTATGCCTCCTAGCCTGAGTGATTTCCTCGCTGCTGTGCAGCAGTCAGAAGTGGAGCCAGATGCAACAGTCAGTGACAGAGGGGCAGTGAAGGGTTAATACCTCCTTCCCCCCTCCTAAGCACAGTAACAGCATAAGGCATTTTCTGCAGCCTTTCTTGGGGGCAAGGGATTGAACTCTAGCTGATCACAGTGGTGACCTACCTAGTCACACACTGTTTACTGGCCATGACACTTTCCTCTTCCCTCTACCTAGGCTTCATGGGACCACCTCCCAAATAAACTACTTAACTCAAATCATTAACTTAGGATCTGTTTCCTGATTTACTTCCTCTTTAAATATGAACACTTCAGGATAATCTTATGATTCCTTTCCCCTTGCTGCCAAGTTTATTTCAGTGTTCCCTCCATAGCGCAGGTTGCTTCACCCCCTGGAGGTGAGCTTGGGCCCAAGCAACAGTCTGCCCTTTGCATACAGCTCAGGTCCTGGTAGTTGCAGTCTGTTCTCTGGGAAGGGGTTACTTCCACTTTGTTAACACTGGGATGTCTTCTTCTCAGTCAGCTGTCTCTCCTGCAGCAGATTTGCTCCTGATCACAGCTCTGCCACTTCCTCTGACACAGCTCAAACCCATTGTTGAAATCATTGCACACCAACCACACACTTGTCTTCTCACTTCAAGCTCCTCTTCAGTTGAGTTTTTATGGTATTTTTTGCCCAACAAAGGCAGAAACTCAAGGGGACTCAAATAGATGTTCCCTTCATTACAAACATGAACAGGCTCTCTGCTTCCTACAGCTCACTTGATTCAGCTGTAATATTACAGTAACAAAAGTGACCATTGTACTTTCTTCCCAAGATTAGGTAAAAATGCAAAATCTAAATGAACAATTGAAATGTTCTGGAGGCTATAGCCAGGAATCTGTCCCAATTTTTGAAGAACATTTCACTCATACTAGCTTAGAAGGCAGTGCAGCAAGATTGCTAATGCATGAATGCTGAAGTCAAGTGGACTCGGCTTGAATTTTGGTTCTGCCTAGCTGTGTAGTCTTGAGCAGGTTAACTGACCTCTCAGAGGTTTCCTATCAAATGAGGATAACAATAGTATCTACTTGTAGGATTGCTGAGAGGATTAAATGAGTTGATGAATATGAAGTGCTTAATGTAGCATCTGGCACAGAGAAGGTATACAACAATCATTACCCACTGTTAGTATTAGTATTAGAAATTAATAACTTTATGGCCATTCTCCACATGATCCTTGTAGGAAGGGTGACAACAGGGGAAGCAGAAGTCCCACCTAACCTTAGCACTCAGATGAGATTCCATGGCCCCCAGCCCTGGCAAAAAAATCACCTTGCCAATAAGTATTCAGTTTACTTCCACTTTAAGTAGAATTTATTTTTCAGCACAAACTTCAGAGAAACTTCACAACCCTACCCCAAAATTTACACTCACACTCATAAATATCTCCATGTTTTGGGGTAAATTTTGATGACTCTTATGTATAGTCTCCAGTTACCGCTCATACAAAAAACTGAGCAACTAGAAAAATATGCCTAGAGACCAAAAGAACCAGAGTTTACCCCAAAATAAAAAATGACAATACATGCTAGAGTGGGGAAGGATTGAGTAAAATCTGTGAGGATTTCAAGTGGGGCCTGACCTTTTTCGTATCTGTTAATAACAAAAAAATGTTGACTCAGTAAATTAATACTAGAAATAACCTTGGGGGATGAGAAGATCAATTATTAATTATCTTAAGTTAACACATGACTCTGAAAAGCAGCCACTGGATGCATGAAAACACTGTATGTTTCACTATAAAACTGAGCTAGTTTTATATAGAAAAAACAGACAACCACTACTTAATGACTTCTCTTAGTAAAGCATCCAAGTTACTACTATGGTTGAAAGTTGCACAAACACTTTTTTAAAATAATTCAGAATTAGCATTAATTTGACAGATCCTCTGTCCTCATTAGTGTTTTTCTATTTCAATGGCCATCCCCAATTCAGGTCCTTGGTTTATTCCTTCTTCTGAATCAACCCTTATTTCCTCAGTCTTATGCACTTCTTTCCCCAACTCATCCTGCATAGCAATGTTAATCTCAGCTTACTACAGCTGCACACTGAGATATAAGTACTCCATTCACATGTGTTTCTTCCTACACTTGCTGCAACACACACACACACACACACACACACACACACACACACACACACACACACACTATTCCTGGAGGAAATATCAAGTCTTGAGCCTGGTACTCAAGAATATGATGTACCTTTTCAAGCTTAATGTATACCACTTTGCTACAAGAATGTCAGACTGTAGCCAGACTGGACAACTACCCACTGGCTTCCCTCCCTCTATTCCTTCACTCATCACATCTCTTAATCCTAGAACATCTATCAGATCTACACTGACTAACATCCTACTCCTTCTTCACACCAGCTCAAACCCCACCTCCTCCTCTCAGTCTTTGGTTACATACTTCAGAGGAAGCATATTCTCTTTTTCCATGTAGCTCATGCCTGCCTATGTAACAGGCACTTATCACATACTATCAAGTGCCTTGGAAAGAAGATCAACTTGCAGGAAGCACCTCAAAGGCAAGAACTGTGTCATTTGTAGGGGGACCTGCTGTAGTTTCTCAAACAAAACACTTGATGGATAACCATTTATTGAATTCAACTAGTGAGATGACACTGTGCTTGAGGCCTGTACCTGGAGATCAGTAACTCTGGGCACAGAGGCTAATTCACATGACTGTCTAAAGATCAGGAGCATGGATTTCCAGTGGTAAATATAATATAGCGCACATAATAAGAAATTGTTCCTGAATTAGTATATAATAAGATTAACTAATTCATGAGTTTGCTGAAATGTATTTAACTTTTAATTGATAACCATCAATGAAAAAGGCAAGATTTAAATTCTTCAAAACATACATAATTGATTCTTACACATAGCCAATAGTCAAACCTTTTAAAGAGAAAACATTTTTTCAGTGTAAAGGAAACACTTCTTTCCTAGTTATTACAGATAATATTTTAAGGGACTGTCAGTTGTATATCTTTTGCCTTAATTTTAAACATGGCTTAAAAGGAGACTATATTACTGCATGTAAGGTAAGGAATCAGTAGTCCAAATAGGAAAACAAGTCTCCTGTTTTACGTAAGTACCACTGATACTGCTGTCCTGAGAATGTGCCTATCAGGAATGGCATAGAAAGAACAAACTAGTTTACAGATTAAAAAACATGTCAATTATTTCATGACCAAATGTCAAACAGAAAAACTGCCTAAATGATTTAGAAGACTATCACATCATACCACATTTTGTGTACATTTAATGGTACAGAAATCATTTATCATTAAAGGCCTTTTTATATAGGTCAAGGTTACTGGGCCTGGTGTTTCATATCTTACAGGTTGAAGAATGCTCTAAATTTTAGGGTTTTTTTTTAACTTTTTAATCTTTGAGAAGGAAAACTAAAACTTCCTATAAACTCAGATTAATGCCTGCTAATGCACAGAAAAAAGAAAAACTAAAACCTTCCTCCTACTATAAAAACAAAATAGTGTGGCCTCTGTTTCTTTTCTGATAAGAGTCTTAAATACCAAACAGTTAACTGCATAATAACATTTACTGGCAGCCAGGCAGCCTGCTTAGCAGATATATAAAGCAGGTAAAAGGAGAAAAAGTTAATTTCTTGGCTGAATGATTCCATCGGTAGCTATAGGGCAAACCTGAAAGTCTTTTAGTAAAGTAGCAGTTGATTCTTCTATCAATCTGTAGCACACATACTCTTCCAAGGAAAGCATTAAATATGAAAATCATATCCCGTTATCATCTGTTTCCAGCTTTCAGCCCAGTAAGCTTTTCTTAATGAATGCTGCAGCCTAAGGAACAAGCACGCTGTTGGCTTTTCTGAATAATGGAGTGATGCTACCATTTTTGCTTATTACAATATCGACTGGCTGAGGGGGTTTCACACATAGTCACAAGTGACTACTCTTGCCAGCATGCTCCAAGTTATTACAAGATGTTTTTAGACATTTCATCTAAAAGAGCTTTACTGCTTTTAGTGAAGAAAACATCTATGGTCTTGAACAGAATCATTTATATGGAGATAGGCAGGAGGATTAGAAGCCTGCATTACAGCAGATACATGGCAGAATTTATTTAAGTATTCCTTGCCTGTCTTTTTGTCTGTTGCTTAGATATGCAATCTTTTCTTTCCACTTTCTCTAAGAAAGGTTAAAATGTACAAAATTATATATATAAAAAAGTGAATCAAAATGCCACATTTTGTTTACTTTTCATTTTAAACATTTCTGGACTATGAAAATGTAGTCACAAAGCATTATTTAGCAATTTCACCTACTAAAAACACTGTATTTTTCTGTAGGATCTCCCTCTTTTAAAGCCACAGTGACTGCCTTTCTACAAATTTAATTGAATTAGACATTAAAACTATACTCTATTAGCAAAAGTCTTTAATCATTTAAAGTTTATAAAAAATATTTGGATCAAGATGGCTTTATATAAAATACTATCTTAAAAGATGAACACTCCAGAAACCCTCTGTTAACAGAAAGCTTATCATTTCATTACCTTTTCTCTATCTTCATCTTTCAGTTCATCTTTCATTCCCAGGCTGTCTTTTGAGAGTAGCTGCATCTTCTTAATTTGAGTCTCATATTCACTCTAAATATAATCAAAGTTTGATATTGTGGTTGATATTATTACAAAGAGACCTGCCCATATATTTTAGTCTATATACTATAAAAGAAACAGTTTTTACACCATAGAAGGAAGAAGTAAAAAGTAAAAGCTGATCTACTCAAGTAAACTTAGTAAACAATTTCACAAATAACATATATCAAAAGCAAAATTCCACAAAGACTTCTATATGTTTTAAGTATAAGAATATTTTAAGGATTTTTACTTGGTCTGTCATCAATTTAGGGAATAAAATCTTGATATAAGAAGCTACTGTGAAAATCCAGTTATGCTATTATGAAAGTAACCATTGGGCACTGTTTTCTCTGAAAAGTTTTATCCTAAACAAAGGGTAAAGAAATCAATTCTAGTGACTTATCTGTATGGTATCTATGTACATAATATTATGGTTCTATTAGTTACAGTTATCAAATATATTATTTGCTAGATTATCAACTTAAAATGAATTTCATTTTCTATGAATAAAAATATGCTGCAGTCATCAATGATTAGCACCATAGGAATCAAGTTTGCTCCAACACTAATAACTACATAGAGATGTCTGCATCATTATCACACTATACTTGATGAAAGTGATTCCACCATAAAATGATTTTTTTCTTAAAAGCAAGCATAAAAAGCACTTTGATTCACTATGTTAGTAATTAAAGCCTCAAAAAGTCATTGATGGTGTCCCATCACAGATAAGCATCTGAACACTCACTAAATTAGACAGTGAGGCAGTGCAATTAGAAATACACCCATGAGATCATGATGCTAGAAAATGGTTCCCTTTTTATTTTCAGCTTTGTTTTGATATACGAAAAATGGACATACAATAATAACCAAAATGAACTTGTTTTCCTTAAAATATCTTAAAAGGTGTTATATACTTTCCCATTTTTAGTAACAATTAAGGTGGGCTTTTCCCCCCCTCTATATTAGAACCATATTAATAAGACAGATGGCAGTAAAGATCTGAATAGATGCATAGTTAAATAAAAATTTTATATGGTCAGTAAAAATGATGAAAAAGAAACCAGATAAAGAAGTAAGGTAAACAAACAATTTATATTTGCTTGCTTTGTATCTATTCCTTTGAACTAAGATATATTTAATTTTTATTTCCAAGAGATTTAAACAGGCATACTTTACAGATCACAAGGGAACGTATCTTCAAGAAGATATAGAGGGTGGATTATTAAATTAACAAAAAAAAAAAAAAACATAGAGGTTAATTAAATAATTAGAAGCCACACAAAAAAGCCTTTGTTCTTGTGGCTGAAAATGTAGTCCTATGCTCTTTGAGATTAGTTCAAGTGTGCAATGGGCATTGTACAAGCTTTCCTCACTATGGAATCATTTCAGAGCTATATCTGCCAAAGACAGAGCACTTTCACATAGAAACAAGAGAGTTTTATTCAATCCATTTTAATGAATTAAAAAGTACATTTTGTAAAGAAACACAAAGACTTATATATAAAGAAAACCTACTTTTTAATAATAAAGAAAACCTACTTGTAAAGTAAGAAAGTATCGTAAACAGTCCAAGTTCTCAATGTATCTGAAAAATCTACTGAATTGCAGGTACTCCTTTAAATTAATGATGTAAATAAAAAATACAATGTATTTGAAGTAAAAAAGCTACTGTAATAAATTGATAATTTGATACAAACCATAACTGTTTCACTTAGGACCATGGATTTCACTTAAAATTGCTTTGGTCTCCTATGCATTTATTTATACATATGACATGTAGTCATTATCCATTAAATCCACCTCTGAAACATTGGAGAGTAGGGGTATTCCACTATGCCTTACAATTATTATGAAGCTCCCTAGATCCACTTCCTTGTCTATCTGCATTTAAACAAAGGGTTCTACTATGTTTTAAAGTCTTTTTTTAAAGTTTGTAAAACATCATATAGATAAATCTTTCCAAGACTTTCCCAGATGAAATGTCTAATGAAATAGCACATATCCTTCTGTGCATCTGCTTCTCTAAACATCAGTCTTTCCAGTTTTATTCCCAATTTCTTTTAGGATCAGATCCCATGTGTGTCTTCAATTTCCACAGTATATCAGGGCTTGCACAGTACATCAGAGAGGAAGTACTCCTTCCTGTCTGGTATAAACTTGAGCCCCTTGTTCCCTACTTGCCATGTATCCCAGATGCTTCAGTCATAACTGCTGCTTAAGGGGCCAAATTATTTATGTCCCAGTAGTATCTGCTGGTCCAGAGCTTCTCTAAGGAATGAAAAAGAGCTCCTCCCCCAATTTCCCTAAGAAAATGTTTCAATAAGCCCAAGAGCACTGAACTAACCCATCAAGTGACTTGTCCTCTTTGTTACTGTACTGCGAAGAGGACTGTTGATGGTCTGGTGTTCTGGGAAGAGGAGGAGTTTCTGAGAATTCTCTCAGGTCTCTCTCGTGCTTATAACACATCTCATTTTCCATTATGTTTCATTTTATTTTTCTGTATTCTCAAATTCTTTCAATTTCTTCTCATCACATTACCACTTGCCTGAAACATACCACCCCTATCTTGTTTTTCACAGACTTCTTTTTTCTATTAGTACTTGGGATTGTACAGTAATTCTCAGTTATATAACTGAATAGAGATTCTTAAGACTGGCTCAGCCTCTACACATTAGTGTGGAAGAAATGGGAGTAAAGATACATAAATTGCCTGATTTGATTGTTGGATGAATATGAGAGATGGGACTAAGATTCAGTCTTTTGTTTTCTCTTCTTCCATTTTTTCCTAGTACATGTGCTTCCTCTTATATTTGTTAACAGGCAAGAAACTACCATCAGAAAGAAAATAAAGGGGGGGATTTGTTACAGATTGTGTCCTCTAGGACTCTAAAGATCATGTCCCGTTCACTGTGGCTGTTAAAAGATTTAGAAGGAACTGAATGAGACCTCAGAAAATTTGTTCTCCTCAAAACATTTTCCTCAAATTTTATACCCTATAATCATCAGTAACCTTGGCTGAATTTTCAACAAGAATTACATCTTTTGTATTTATAATTCTCAATCCATGATTTGTTGTTCAAATGCATGGATAAGAAATATCCTCCTGACTTTTTGAAGAACATCTTTATATAAGCCAATAAATTGAATAACTTAGAATACAGATGAATTCTTAAAATCATACAATGTTCTGAGACTGAATAAAGAAGAAATAGAAAACCTGAATAGACCAATTACAAGCAAGGAAACTGAAACAGTAATAAAACTGTCCCCTAAAAACAAAAGCCTAGGACCAGATAGTTAGACCAATATTCCTTATTAAAGTAGATGCATAGGGTCTCCCCTGGTGGTGCAGTGGTTGAGCGCTGGGCTATGAAGCTGCCAGCCTCTGCAGCGCCAGTTCCATCCCTGGCCACCGGCGAGGGTCCCACGTGGCACGCAGACCTCTCCTGCTGCCCGCTGCTCCCCTCAGCAGTGTATTTAGGTCCATCTGCCTGTTCTGCTCCCTGCTCTGGCTCTGGTGAATTCTCTCACCCTCCCGTGCTTCTGACTGTACCCAGTGCTCGTATAAATAAATAAATAAATAAATAAATAAATAAATAAATAAATAAATAAATCTTAAAAAAAAAATAAAATAAAATGGATGCATAAACCCTCAACAAAATCTTAGAAAGCAAATAGAGCAATACGTTGAAAAGTTCCTACACTGTGGCCAAGTGGGATTTATTCCAGGGATGTAAGAATGGCTCAATATCCACAAATCATTCAGTGGAATTCTTTACATCAACAACAGGAAAGGAAAAAATCTTATGATCAGATAAATAGATGCAGAGAAGGCATTTGACAAGATTCAGCACTCATTTATGATTTAAAAAAACCACCCAATAAAAAGGTGATAGTAGAAACACACCTCAACATAATAAAGGATATACAGCAAAGCTATAAAGGCTATATGCCAAGCTCAAAGCTCCACAACTAATGTCATACTCAGTGTGAAAAACTGAAAGCTTTTCCTCTAAGAACAGATACAAGACAAGGATGTTTCATTTTAACCACTACTATTCAACATAATATTGGAAGTCCTAGCTAGAAATAGGCAAAAGAAAGATATAAAAGGACTCCAAATTGAAAAAGAAGTAAAGCTATTGCTATTTACAGAAGACATGATAACATACATTAAAAAAAACCCAAAGACTCCACAAAAAACCTATTAAAAGTAATAAATTAGTACAGTGAAGTGGCACATTACAAAATCAATATACAAAAATCTTTTGTATTTCTATATGGAAACAATGAACTAGAAGAGAAACAAATCAAGAAAACAATCCCATTCACAATCACATCAAAAAGAATTACATCCCTAGTAATAAACCTAACAAGGAGGTAAAAACCTGTACAATGAAAACTATGACATTGCTGAAAGAAAGCGAAGACACATATAAATAAAAAGATATTCCTTGCACATGGCCTGGAAGAATTGTTAAAATATCAGTCTTACTCAAAGCAATACACATTCAATGCAATCACTATCAAAGGTTCAACAGCATTAAACATTACTGAAATTCACATGGAATCATAAAGGACCACAAACATACAAAGTAATTCTGGCAAAAAAAAAAAAAAATAATGGCAGCATCATATGCTCAGACTTCAGGTTATACTACAAAGCTATAGCAATCAAAACAGTATGGTATTTCACTAAAACAGACACAGATCAATGGAATACAATTGAAAGTCCAGAAATAAACCTACACTTACATGGACAGTTAAACTACAACAAAGGGGACAAGCTGTACAATGGAGAAAGTATTTTCAATAACAGGACAGTCACATGCAAAAGAAAGAAAGTAGTGTTGCCAGTCTCTCACACCATACACAAGTTGGATTAAAAAGTTGGATATAGGGCCTTCCTGGTGGTGCAGGCAGTTGAGCACAGTACTGTGAAGCTATCTGCATCCTCTGCAGTGCAGGTTTGATCCTAGCTGGCCATGAGGATACCCACATGGCGT